TACTGTTTCCGGATTAATTCCAAGGAATCATAGGTTGATAAAAGGTATTTGTTTTGATGTGTTTCCCCTGCAGTCAAAACTGACGTGGAATTGGTCATAGATAAACGCAATATAAGGCAGACACACCAAACTGTTCATTTGTACCCATTTGTACCACATTTAGGCCACACAAAACTACAATAGCGAGAGTTTTGTCGTAAATAATTTTTCAACTTATTTTTATTATAATAATGAAATTTTGCGCGATATGACAATTATGCCAATGTCAATACTAATTTGATTCATTCGCAAAATTCAAAACCAAGTAGGCATACTTAAAAACTATAAACAGTAAAAAAATCTTTACTTTTAAATTTTAAGAGGTGGACCAGCTGATGAAACTGAACAACTTTCCCCAGAAGGAACATAATGTCGAAAAATGAAAAAACATTTTTGACCTCCCATACAAATGCACCAGCCGAGCGATTTAGTCTGTTTGGGAAGCCCATTTTTAGGGTTTCGTAGTCTACTAGAAACCCTTATAGTTTCGTCATGTATGTCTGTCTGTCTGTCTGTCTGTCTGTCTGTCTGTCTGTCTGTCTGTATGCCGCGCCCTCATATCTTCGTCAGTTTTAGAGCTATCGACATGAAATTTGGTGCGAAGATAGATCGTGTTGACCCAAATATAGAAATGTTAAGAAAAATATATTTTAAATGTTTTTTGGACCCCCTCCCATACAAGTGAAAGGGGGGCAAAATATTTTTTTTTCTTCTGTTATATTGAGTAGGGTATCGTTGAATAGGTCTTTTAAAACTAAGGTGAGGTTTTTTGAAACAAAGTCACTAAAATGTTTCTGTCACGAGATATTTACTTTTAAAAAGGGCGTTTTTGACCCATAATTTGTTCCAGCTGTAACTTCTAAAGTATAAACGCTAAAAATTTGAAATAAATATGGAATATAGCTTACAATCTGAAGTTACAATGAAAACTATAACGGATATCGTACCCTTAAAGGTTTCAGAAAAAATTGAGTTTTTCTATTTGCGGTTGGTCATCATACTGCTGCTAACAAACCAGCAACAAAATTAAGTTTGTAATGCTGAAAAACCTGATATTTAAACGTTGACTACGAAACCCTATTTGTGGGCGTGTCTGACACGCTCTTGGCCGGTTTTTATATTTAGACATATGTTGTTCAGTTTCATGGACTGGTTCATCCCTTAAAATATTGATTGTAAAGGCCTTGTAGTGCCACCAATGGAATGTCAATCATGTTTAAACTTGAATTTAGACCGCGATCACACATGCAACTTTTTTGTCGCGCGACACACGTATTTCTTGTTCTTTTGCACGTGTGTGAAAGGGACTACAAATAAGTCGCCGGCCAAAGTCTCCTTAGTTTAAACGCGGGGTTACCGATAATTTTTGGAAGGTCGAATAGGGTTACGTACGATGAATTTATTAAGTATTTGATGACGTTATGGTAACCCTGAATCCTTGGTATAACCTGATTCATAGAAGAGGGTGACCCGAAATGGCAACATTATTGTTGAGATCTTGCTCAAAAGTCGCAAATGACGGTGAAAAAGACGCAAACAATAATGTTCCCATTTCGGGTCCCTTTCTTCTATGAATCAGGTTATAATACCGAAATATACCATAAATGGTATAGAGCAATGAAATCCTTTTATAAGGATACTTATTTCAAGATCAAAAATCATAGGATTATCCAAATAGAAGTGGATTAAAAACCTTCGACAAAAAAGCAAGCCATACAAATGCCATGATTTGTATGTATGTCCTAACCTAACCAAAGATGGCAAAAATTAATACTGGTAAGTTTTAAATAACTGAACACTGGCAAGAGTGTCTTCTTATTCATATAACCTGATTGACCATAGTCATCCATCAATAAAAAAAATATTTATGTCAAAGTTCGCGCGAAGTGCGTAAAATGATACTGGCCACTTACACTTTTGGAAAACATTTTCTTTTAAGAGTTTCTTACTAAAAAAGTAAGTATGATCACAATTTATAAAAGTCATTTCCTGATATTGATTTTTATTTTTGGAAGAATTTATTCTTTTCGTTTACTGAACGTGAAAAAATATCAAGCAAACAGACAGTTCAATGTAAGGACGTCATTATTTAACAATGAATATTAAATATTTACTATTTTGTAGATTTTTTTCCACAAGATAGTAATTTCGAATACTAGTGTCTTAATCAAACACTAGATATTGGCATTATTAATAATTATTATTATGAATATTGTTTGGATCACCATTCAACATACAGGGCCTTACCACAAAAAAGATAGACCAGCGTTCAACGCGTGTCTAGCGTTTTTTTTTGTATGAAGTTTTATTTTAGACTCGTGTTCAACACTGGTCTAACTTTTTTGTGGTAAGGCCCACAATGTTTTTATACAATAACCTACTATGAATAACCCGCAAATAGTTTGATGTGCTGCTGATAGTACGTACCTACATTATCTAAGATTGTTTGAAATGGTGACTGCCACTTCTGTAAAGTTACTCATTGACCAGCTCGGACACGACTTCCGAATATAATTTGAATTTCGAACCTTCCGGTAAAGGAGGGGGCTGTAGGAGCCTTAAAATATTTCTTAATAATTTTATAATTTAGATTTACGTGTGTATTATCTTCAACTTTACAACAACACTTAAATTGTATTTATTAGTTAACAGTATATTAATTACTAGCTGCCCGTCAGCGGTTTCACCCGCTGCAATCTATTATTACGCGGGAAGAAAGCATTACTCGCCAAGAGATGTCGCTGTTAGTTTTTGGCAAAAACGTTTAAAACGCGAATCGGCTCAGTCACGCCACCTTTGCAAAAATATCGGAATATGCGTGATCCCGTAGGAATAAGACATTTTCCCGTGGTAAAAAGTAGCCTATGTGTTATTCCAGATAGTCTTCTATATTTGTGCAAAATTTCATGACAATCTAATCAGCCGTTTTAGCGTGATGTCGTAACAAACACACACACAACATCCGCCTTTATAATATTAAGTAGGATAGTAGGATAGGATTAGTAGGAAGTAGAATTTGTGGGATTCAAAATCTTGTTAAAACATTTTCATTGGCAAGTAATTTTTGTACGTTCATGTGTTGTGGGATATACATCAATTTTGCCTTACTTACTCGCCAAGAGATGACGCTGTTAGTTTCTAAAACGCGAATCGGCTCAGTCGGGCCACCTTTTTCATAAATATTGGAAAATGCGTGACCCCGTGGGAATGAGACATTTTTCCGTGGTAAAAAGTATATGCTATTCCAGATGCCCTTTTATATTTCTGCAAAGTTTCATGTCAATCTAATCAGCCGTTTTTGCGTGAAGTCGTAACAAACACACACGTAGGAAGTATAGCATGACCAGTGTGTAAGATTTTCCAATATCGTAAGACAAAACTTAACGCCGTGTGGTGCCGGCAGAGTAGAATAGCACCACCCCCTCTCTTCCCGTGGGAGTCGTAAGAGGCGACCGAAGGATAAACCCGACCCAAACAGCTAGGCCAACCGTATGGTGGCGGTTAATCCACCACAAAAGCATTCCCAATGAGGGTTGACGTCTGTTAGGCGGCCGGTCGTAAAATTAAGCCGAATCCATTGCAGCACGATTTTGTGTTTAGCAAAACGTGTTGCGCCGACCCCAAGCAATTGGGATAAGGGCAGGAAGATGATGTAAGACAAAACTTAAATTAAATAAAAGTTCGAAAAAATAAAAACAAAAATAAGGTGAACACTATCCAGATTCGAACGCGCGTCACCTTGTTTGGTAGGCAAGCGCACTATCGCCGCAGCTACCATGACTTTAAGATGACTGTTGAATTAACGGATATGCTTCCCCACAAAGACGCGAATCGGCTCAGTCACGCCACCTACGTCAAAAATTTTGGAATATGCGTGATTCCGTAGAAATGAGACATTTTCCTGGGGTAAAAAGTAGCCTATGTGTTATTCCAGATGCCCTTTTATATTTCTGCAAAGTTTCATGTCAATCTAATCAGCCGTTTTTGCGTGATGTCGTAACAAACACACACACAAACATCCGCCTTTATAATATTAAAAGTTTCATGTCAATCTAATCAGCCGTTTTTGCGTGATGTCGTAACAAACACACACACAAACATCCGCCTTTATAATATTATATATAGTAGGATAGTAGGATAGTAGGATATGATTTACATAAAACATCATCTACAAGCATGATGACGTAGTCAAGTGTCAGTCACGTGGTTTACGAGTCTCGGAATGGAATACCAGGGCCCCAAGTCTGCTAATTTTTAGCCATTGTAATGCCAGCGAGACTCAACTGTCATTCTACTGCCACTGTGATTTTCCATACTAAAAACTGTTAGCAGACTACGAAATGACCAAACCATCCAACTGAGATGCCATCGAGATCCAACTGAAACGATTTTCATTTAGCGGACTCGGGGCCCAGGCGGAGTATCTTATCATACCATGGCCAGTACCACGGCGAGTGTGACAAGGAGTCGCCATAACGTTTTATTACACGAAAACGCCTTCTCATGAAATCATTATTCAAATAAAGTTTGGGAAATATTAATTTGAGTTAGAATTTTACGTTTTTTTATTGACTTGCTAAGTTCAATCGGTATAATAACCTATTTCCTAAACCATATAGACATATGCCTACATTTTCGCGTAACATATACATACACGGCAATACTAATATTGGCACTATTAGAACCCTAGAGAACAAAGTCAAACAAAAGTGCTAGTCCTACAGAAATTGCTTAACATTACTTGCGGTTTCCGTGAAAATTTTCAAGAGCCCAAACTTAGGATTAACTTAAACAAACTAATTAAAATATTAAACAATTACTCGACGCTTTGGACACTTATCTATTTTGATGACTCTCTACTATGTTAAAGCTGCGAAGCGAAACCCAGATTAAAAAAGTCACCTGCGAAGTTTTTGTGCTGGCAGAATACTTAGTTTTTTTAGGAAAACTTGCTAAATTTTCACCGCCGGCTGGATTTGAACCAGCGACTTTCGCTATCTGTACTGGCGACGCCTCTACCAACAGGGCTACAGCGGCTCACTCCAAGCCCGCAAATTAAGCAAGTGAATATTGACCACTAACTGCGGTGAACATTATGTATGTTTTCCTAAATTGTAAACCTAACACGAGAAGTGTTTTAAAAATTTGGTATTCATTTATTTATTTGTACAACAAGAGAGCAAAGTATAATTTTTATTCGAGTTCTGAATGAACGATATAATACTAAAATTGAATTACAAGCGCGTAGTGAGTAATTCAAATAAGTAAACTATACTCGCTCTCGTGTCTTTCCAGCTCAAAACAAAGTTTTCACTACCAGTGAGAAAATGCAAAAGCGCGCGATAAGAATTGAACACAGTGCTATTGAAAAAATTGTCTGAGTAATTTCATCAATAGCACTTTCAACAAGTGAGGAAAAATTACTTTTCCTCATTGATTTTACGCGTTAGGTAAACCTGTTCTTTTCAAGCTATTTAGGTAAAATCAAGGGTAAAGTATCCAAATTCAAATCACTTTTCCTCATTGATTTTACGCGTTAGGTAAACCTGTTCTTTTCAAGCTATTCAGGTAAAATCAAGGGTAAAGTATCCAAATTCAAATCACTTTTCATCATTGATTTTACGCGTTAGGTAAACCTGTTCTTTTCAAGCTATTCAGGTAAAATCAAGAGTAAAGTACCCAAATTCAAATCACTTTTTTCAAGCTATATTGTAAATTGTAAATCGTGGTACATAGGTATATTATGGCTCGCTACGCTATAGTATAGGTACATCTAAGTACATCACCGTGCCTATATCGGGTATTTCTGGCATTACGTTACATATACAGTACAGCCTGGAGAGAGCCAGTGTGAGCAGTGTAGCCTGCGCCGGGCAGATAAGTCACGCAAATGTCACTTCTCTGAGCCCGACTTGTGACGTCAAACGGCGGCTTATCTGGTGACACGGCAGTGCTTCCGCCAAGTCGAGCAATACGCAGCATGACCGTAGGGGTAGAAGAACGGAGTAGTGAGACTTGTGTTTAAGTTATGTTTGTGTTTACATCATAATTGTAGTAGCTTTGTAACGTGAAAACGTGGTGGAAGTGGAAACTACTTATAATATAACATAGGTACATATACATACATATCACGCCTATATCCCGCAAGGGTAGACAGAGCGTAAAACTGCTCTGCGTAAAAAAACTGCCATTTACGCCACGTCTGACAAAAGTTTCAGAGTCATTCAGAAGATGTGTATCTCGAGGGATGACATTTTAACGAAGGTGGACCGGAGCAAATAAATGCACTAAATGAAAGTCGATTGATGTAAGAGTATGAACTTGTAAATTTCTGAAAGGGAAGCCTATTGGAATCGACATGTATGGACTTTTTGCCACTAGGTACGTATCTACATACAATTTGGATGAGTTATTCGAAACTTGACTGAAACGGTAGTTTAGCGAATTCTTGAACATGCTTTCTACCAGCGTAATCCGTTACTCCTAAGCCAATAAATGTGAGGACAACAAATTATCGGTTGTAATTCTATAAGACGTGATTAGCCCGTAATCCGCTGGCCTGCTCTTTCGACTAATTAGATAATCTTTCCGGAGTCGTAACTACCTACCAAGGATGTTTTTGCTTTTTAGACCTACAGTCGGTTAGACCCGGTGGCCTCGAGGTGGAAAAACACACGTAACGTCCGCTTTTGCGTTATTTTTATGCAGCGCTGTCACATGTTTTAGGAAAATCCGATTTTCAAACCTTATTTTCAAACTATGCATCCATCGAAACGACACGCAACGTTGTGCGATGCGCAGCGCTAGCGGATGCGTCTGTCAAACTGTTTGACATACATAAACCGTATTTATGAAAATGAGGTATTTGGATTTACCTAACGCTTACCATAGCGCTGCTCAAAAATAACTCACATACGAACGTTAGATACGAGTGTTTCTCGCCGAGATAGTAGGCGGTTGAAAAGTCTGGCGCCACGCCTCATCGAGTCGTTGTCCCACACGATAAAAGAATACCACAAAAAGTTGGTGGCGCGTTGAAAGAATGTTTAAAAAATATCAATCTACAATTGATGAAACAAATTAATGTCCTCACTGATTCATTGACACAGAGCCTAACCTACTTACTAAAGTTTGAAACATGAAGTTTGGGCAATAGGTTTATATTAGCACAATGCCATCCGCTAAGAAAGGCTTTTTAAAATCTTGAGCACTAAAGACCAACTATTATTATTAATTAATCTTTTCGGGGTATAATTAATGACAAGTTTTGTCTGTACGTATGTACCTAGGTAAAATGCAATACTCAATACATCAGACCCAGACTTAAAGCTAGACTTATTGGGTCTTACTGGCGATGGGTCTAATAAGTCAACGATTCGTCCCAACTCATCACGAGGCTAACCGGAGCTCATTTGCGCCACTTAAATCAGGATACCTCTTCAAAAGATTTCCTTTGGTACGTATACATACATATTCTTGTATGATCTACAGCCACGAAATTCCACAAACATTGAATCTTCTCAAAGATTTGAATGTGTTCAGAACAGAACAGACATGTGAAACTAGCTGAATGGATCGGTAAAATTTGGGTAAAGTGGCATACTTCCATTATTTCCTGTAACCGCCACAGGAGTGCGATGGCGCTGGCGTCGCGGTGAGGAAATAAGGTGTCAGTCAGCTTGCAGCGTTGGAGCGCGCCGGACGTGTTGGCTGTCACGCGTCACGTGCCCGCGCCCCTACAGCTGGCTGACACGTGTTATGAAATTGTTTGTGGGTTTTCAGGAAGTGGGGCAGAGGGTTGAATGCAAACCGGTCCTATTTAAATGTTTGTTGGTGTGGTACGACAGTAGTTTTTCCTCTTCTAGTTTGGCTAGAACTTTTGCAGAAGTCATCAATCACGCATCCAAAGTTCCAGATTAACACAATCGCATAATGAAAAGATTAAACGCAAATGCGCATAAGTAGATTTACATCCTTTGAAGGTTCAAGCGTCAGTGTTTTCTTTTAAAACTATACCGCAAGGAAAGTCCCTAGTCCCACTTTATTAAGATCTCACTGGATACAACCCATTTCCCGAGGTTGACCAACGGCCACACACAATATAAAATGTACATCAACCGCATAGTGCCCAGGATATCGTAATTGACATGTCATGACCACTCGCGCGCACAAAAGGACAGAGATTGTAGAAAATTTGCCCGCACGATACCTAATGTCGGTCCGGCAAATAGATTTCACTGCGGGGGTCGGGCGACTTTTAGTTCTGACATTCTGACATTGAAACCCACAAGGGCGAACTTTTGCGTTTTGCTCCTTTGATGTCGTAACGTTTCAAGTTTTTGGTAACCCACATTATTATTACCTACATACCGACCTCAATAGCTGACTGTATTTGCTATTAGTTTGGGATCGCTACTGAAATGAAAAATGGATATTGATTGGTAGATTGGGATAGTGATAATCATTAGGACAATACTTTAGACGCTGAATAGATACAAAACTGCAAAGGTGTGTAAGAAAGTTATCTACAGTTTGTACTAGATTGCCAGCAAATCGACCTACACATTTAAGGGCCCAACGTGCTATGGTTTTTCATGCAAATTCTAAGAAAAACCAGTAAAACATGGTTCCTTAAACGGGTAGGTGGATTAGCTGGATAGTATGAGTGAACGAAGTGAAAATCCGATGTTTATTAAGTTGTCTTCAGATTGCCGGACGCTCACTTGCTAACTGTGTTACTAGCAAACGTAATTAGAGTCTGTGCCTTATGCCTTTTCATATACGATGCATTTCTGCATGTGAATGTGACACAATCTAATTTCTTTACAAGCGACTAGGATCCTTTGTTACGACGTTCTATAGAAGTGGGTTACACATAGGTAATCAGGCCAGGTTCTCTTGAATGAATACTGTTCGATGCTTACCTGACCTGCATGATACTTACAGCTTAAAGCTATAGCACGTCATATCACAAGCTAGCTAAAGTTTTCACAAGTCATTGCGGATTTTAAAGTCTCAACCCTGGATCCCCCTGCTGTGATGCCCTTACTTTTAAACATTCTGCTACTACCCGAACCTACAAGAGGCAAACCCTACAGCTATCGCCATAATAATTTAAAACTGACACCAATAGCCAATAAACTCGAGTATAAAAGAAGTAAGCACAAAGACGTTTTTAGTTTCAGGAAATATCCAGAACTCGTAGAAATATTACAGATTTCAGAGCAAAAACTGTTCAGAGGGAACTAACTACCAGAGGGAAGGCGTCCTATCAAAGAATGTGGAGCTTTGTGGCACGAAACCAATATCTCAGTATTCGGAAAAAATATATAGGAAAATAAAGTCATTAGTAGCTACCTATAATTATATTTCAACGCAACGCCTTTTGAATCTGTATTAAGGATCATTTTTGTGATACCTAATGGAGAAAAGTAAAAGACTTGACTACACTAGGTTTGTAAATAACTGACATACATTATGAACTTGTTACCTATCCGATTAGATATTTGGGAATGTATAAGTAAAAAAACTAAATATTAAATTACGAAAAAATTTCAACACAATCAGCAAAAACGCATAAAAATCTTAAGATTTTTTCTCATTCTGAATAGCGAGAACCAATTATAAGTTGTGTGTAATCCTCTTATCTGGAAGTCTGAGTCTGCGCTGCCGGCCGGCCGCCACTCAGGATATAATTCACTTTATCCATATTCAATATCAGATCGCGCGACGCCGACTCGAACAAATAGAGCGATTCAATTCAAGTGAGAATTATTATTGGATAAAGCGTCTATTGACTCAGTGTTCACTCAAGTGTGAGATGATTACGTGATCTGTTTGATTTCGTAAATATTGCTTTTAGTAGGTTAGAATTTCTATACAAAAAAAATTTGGGAGTTCCCGTGCGTGTTCCAGGTCGGTTCCGCTTTGGAAACTAATCTTTAGGCTATTCTTTACCTATGCCGAACCGGGGATTTGCTGGCCTACCTACAAAAAAAAAATGGCAACCGTTTCAAAATTTTTGCACTGGGCAAAAT